CAGGGGGTTGGACTGGGGGATCCCCAGAGGTCCCTTCCAACCCTGAACATTCTGGGATTCTGTGATTCTCCCACACTTCTGCTCCTCTGTGACTGTCACCCTCTAGATGCCATTCAGTTTAGGTGCAGGGAAGATTGCCACCTTTTTCTTTAAATAAAAGACTCAAGATTCTTTTTGATGTTTTATTTACAGTCCCAGAGCATCTATTCTTGCTGCAGTGACCTTCAGCCATTCTTTGGCAATATGCAAAATACAACAACATTCAATGACTTGGTGTCCACCTGGTCTTGTCTTCACCATCACCCAGTGTTTAAATGGGAACTCAGACTCTTCGTGACTTCAAAACACAAGTCCGTGGCTACAGCACTATTGCTCTGCTCGTTGTGGCTTTCCACTGGAGCTGGCACTCTCAAAACCGAAAGCGTTTTGCTCGTTGTACGAGCAGGGCTCGCTGTGTTTGGGGCAACCATCCAGCTAGGTGTGTCTAACGGCCCTTGCTGACTTCTGCGGGGTTGGCGTCCGACCAGGAGAGTGGTGGGAAGCACCCTGCGGGGCTCCAGGAGGACAGTTATGGGGGGGGAGAAGGAGCACTCAGCATTGCAACCCCCTTTCCTGGAGGGTCGTGATGAACGGGCCGCGATGTGGTTGATGGCTCGCACCTCGTCTTGCGTTCACGCTGCCTTGGAGCTCCTCTCCTCTGAAAGGGCAGGAGCTGCTACAGCTATGGCCTCGGAAAGGTGTTTTAGCTCATCTGTCACATTAAATGCTCCAGGATTCCAGATGCAAATGACTTTCCAACAGGAATTTGTTTAAGAAAGCAGATATGAGGCAATCAAAACAGTGTGTGTTTGGGGTCTTGTATCTGAAATTGTCCTCTGGCTCCCCTGCAGAAGGCACACACCACATCTCAGAGTTTAGCTGGAGCCAGCTAGGCTTGTGCTTTTAGGCAAGCCTGAATTAACTGCCTTAATCCTAATTAAATCTGTTTGAAACAGAGCCGAGCAAACACCGCTATTGCAGGGGTAGGAGCCACCTCCCCTTGTTTAAACACTTCGTGATTACAGTTGGAAATCACCTCAAATATCTTTAGGGGAATGACTGATCTCTTTTTAACTTTAAATAAACACCAGGTCACCTCTACACATTCACTGGGTACGTGGGCTCCCTGTATGACCAAGGAAGATTTGGTCAAGTCCATCAGTGGGGGCAGGTGTGGCTCACTGCAAGGTAGACACCCACGTTTTGTCAGCTGAAGAGATCGATAAACTCTGCTGATTGTACTGGCCGGAGTCATGTTCACTATAACGAGTCTTTGGCTCACAAATAGGTGATGACAGATCCTCAGATTTGGGTCTTAATATGACCTAAATCTAAAAGATGGTGAAATGAATCCCATTCTGGAGATGTCCTCTAGCTGGTGGGTAAAAAAGGCACAGAAACAGAGAAATGTGGGGTTTTTTTCCTTTGATGAAAAAGGAGCTGCAGACCTGGGCTTACAAACATATAAATCCTGCACTGGGGTGGTGACTCCTCTCCATCACCTGCCATCCAGATGTATGGGAAGAAACCAGGAACCTGGAGCACAACCCACCGGACTAGGTGGAAACCAAGCTACCTTTGGTTTCCCTTAATACAGAAATGAAAGGGAGAGTCTTGGTTTGGCCTTAGTCCCTTCAAAATCGATGGCCAAGGTAGCTCTCATTTTCAAAAGAGACTTGGGGGAAGAGTATAATGGCTCATTTTAGACACAGTTACTGCCCTGGAGTAAAAAACCCTCCTGAAGTCCTGGTGGAGAAAGCAAGGAGACCCTATCCAAACACCGGTGAGTTCCTCTCCGTGTCTGCCTCTACCACTATTCACGGCTTGGAAAGACATTCGGAACCCAAGAAAGAGAAGTTTGTATTTTTCACATTTCTTGAGCAAGGGGGAAAGTGAAAAGGGGAAGGTTGGGTTGAGCAAGGAGAGAGAGACACATGGGCCAGGACTGATCTCAGCTGGCTTTAGGCACCTGCAGTTCCAGCACGTGCACCTAGGGCAGACGCCGCAGAGAAAGGCAGAAACCACAGATATCTGAGACAGGATGGATGATGTTCTACACTATACAGACTAGCAGTGGTGCTGAGAATGGCTGGTTCGGATGTTGTTAGATACAGTGTGTGTGTTTGAGATGTCTACAAGATGGCTACACTCAGTTACATCAATACCACCCAAGGCGAAGCAGGGAATTAGTGGGGACAAGGGGACGGCCACCCAATGTGTGAGATCTTGGCAATGGGAAACAGCAGTTGCCTCCTTCCCCCCAACCGGGGTGGGTGTAGACAACCGCAGTTGGGTCTCCTGAACACATTTAAAGATGTTAGAGCAATTTTGCATAACCCTGTCTGCAATCAACTCCTCGTTTCTACAAGGCACAAGCCACGCTTTCGGTTTCTTTTCGTTTCATGAGCACCCACCATCTCACTTCCCAATATTCTTGGCAGCAGCATTCACCTGTGATTTGTGGTGAAACAGCCAACCGTTTGTTTTGTTAAAGAAGAAAATAAAAAAGCTAGTCTTATTTTTTTCCTCAGTAACAAAATATAGACAGATTAATTCTAAATATTTGCTTGTTTACTTCTGCTTTCTCCTGTTTTCTCTCTTGCCTGCACAGGAGCTCCCATGTGCAGCTGTAGGAGTTTAGGGCTTGTGGACCACGTTCAGCATCTCATGGAGCGTGCTTCATCTGCTGGTGGCTGGACTACTCATAAGCTTAGTGTCCACCCTTCATTAATCAGCTTTAAAAATAAACAGAAGAGCATTTCCTCTGGCAATTCATTTCATGTCTCATGGCTTCCAGTTCCTCGTGATTGAATAAATCAGGGAAATTTTGTAGCAGAAGCAGGAGGGAG